GCAAACACCCAAATATCATCAACTTTGACTAAGTCCTCTGGTAGGTATTTTTTATGAAATTTCACAATCACTAATTTTGAAGGATTCATAAATAATGTCTTCTTTTGACACCAAGTATTAAAGTCCACCAGATATGGTCAGATATGGATATAGTGGTATCATCAGAAAACATGGTGACATGACCGTTCAATACCTATTGAGGTAAATGATTCACATATATCAGAAAAAGTGGGGGTCCGATAACTGAGCCCTGCAGCATACCAAGTTTTATAGCCTGGGAAACAGATAATAAGTTATCACATGAAATTATCATATTTCTCTCGGTCATATAAGATCTTATTCAACTTATAAAACATATATAAAACAGGCTTTTTTCAACTTCTCTGTAAAACTATCCTGAATGATTCACAAGAAGGATAAGGGATTTATGATTGAGGGAAATATATTTTTGATCCTAATGAGTGATATTTCATCAAAACAAGTAGATAGTTTATTTTCTATCCCCTTTAACGTCATAGTTACTTCGTGTTCCATGTTGTTTGGAGATTCAACTGGATAACTCATTTCAGGGATATGTTTTGGCCGAAGTGGTTTGATAAAACACTTCGGCCACTGAAGTTGGATAAATCCAACCTCACTCACAAGTCAATAAAAGCGGACAATCAAGCGGCGTTGGAAGCTCTTGGATCCTACCGAGCAACGTCTAAATTGGTAGCAAACTTCCATAAACGACCCTCCTCGATAGGAAAACTTAACAGATTCTGCAAGCGACTTCATTGGACCAGAACCTGTCATTGGCATCGCCAATGACTTCTGGCAGAATCTTCCAGGATTGGCTCACTCCAAGGTGTTTATTTACCCTTCGAAGCTTGATTCCAAACAGTTGTTGGACTACAGTAGGAATGAACTATGATGTCTAACAGGCCTTCTTACAGGTCACTGTCATTTGAATCATCACATGCAGAGACTTGGACTGTTGGAATACAGTGTGTGTCCGCCTCTGCTCAAAAAATGATGAAACAGCAGAGCATATACTTTGTGCCTGCCCCTCTGGGGACCAAATCAGGTTCTTTGAGTTCGGCAGATCCGCACTCTCACCATTTGACCTGAAAGACCACTCACCATACAAACTAATCGGCTTCGTTAAGAAGCTGGGTTTATTTGGCCGAGTGTGAATAGGTGTGAGTTACAATAAACCCTTATAGGTTGCGGTGGAGAGTCGAAGAGACCCACTCACTATAGAGCTACCTACCTACCTGCCTACCTACCACCAGATATGGTCAGATATGGCTATAGTGGTATCATCAGAAAACATTGTGACATGACCGTTCAATACCTATTGAGGTAAATCAATCGCATATATCAGAAAAAATAGGGGTCCGATAACTGAGCCCTGCAGCATACTAAGTTTCACAGCCTGGGAAACAGACAATAAGTTATCATATGAAATGATCATATTTCTCTCGGTCGTATAAGATCTTATTCAATTTATAATTTCACATGGAATACCTCAGTTGTTATTTTCTGCAAAAAGTGACTCAACATTAACCATATCGAATGCCATCAATTGGTGAAAAAATAGTGAAAGTACATATTCGTGTATGAGTACAATATACGGTAAGAAGCTGATTCAATTGATCTATTCCTTAGAAAACTATGCTGATAGCTGAAGATTATGTTGTTTCTTTCTGAGTCATGATTCTATTCGCAGCTATCTTTTCGATCAATTTGACAAGTAAGCAGTGAAAAAACAGTCTTTTTTCAGCTTTCCTGGAAAACTACCCTGAATGATTCACAAGAAAAGTTAGAGATTTATGATTGAGGAAACTATATTTTCAATTGTAATAAGTGATATTTCATCAAAACAAGTGGATACTTTATTTTTTATCTCCTTCAACGTCATAGTTACTTGTGTTCCATGTTGTTTGGAGATTCAATTGGATAACTCATTTCAGGGATATGTTTTGGCCGAAGTGGTTTGATAAGGCAATCACTGTTCCATTTGAAAAATGTGTTACGAACAATTCTTCTATTTCATCCTTGTCTGATAACCGAGTATAACCATGAGAAATGATAAAACCACTGTTTTTATTTCTCATTCCGTAATTCCCTATCTTTCATGTTTCTTTAGTTTTATCATTTGATCCATTCATTTCAATTTCGAATTAGTTTTTTCGACAATTCAGTTTTTTGGTCATATTCTCTTGATTTATTCTCATAGATTTCCCAAAGAGCCAATATCATGGGAAACGAAAAGATTTGGGAGGTTTGCTCTTGTATACAATTTTTCAAGTGGGCATGCTACAGCAAAGCAAATTGTTCAAGAAATTTAAAAAGGCATCACAAAATGATAAATATTACACTTCATAAGACTTTTTTAAAGGTTTCTTTTCGAACGAAGTTCCTGTATTTAATTCACCATATTTACTGGTTGAGACCTAAATGATGGTGATAGGCCATACTGCACGAGAAGACAACGTGCAGAGATATCTGTTCTCTTCTATGATATTCCATTCTGTTCTGGGATATGCGGTATTGCTAAACGTCGCATAAGACCGCTCTATTCTTATTCTAGCAGGTGATCAAAGGATTTACTGATATATATTCTTCTCCATTATTCGACTCAATACTTTTCTTGGAGGAAATACTATCTGCAATGATTGTTGAGGAAGGTTTAAAATTTATACGAATGAGATCCAACATTGTAAGTTGACTAAAGAATTCGGATAATGAAAATATATGTAAAAGATTCGAAGATAGAAATCAATTGAAAGAACTTTACAGAGTAGAACGTGGCAGTATTGCAAAGAAAACTATTATTTGTCAAAACCAACTCAATATCCCAATCAAATTACAATACTTTGTTGAACAGGTCACCAAAGAGAAAAAAATTATTTTTAAAATTTTGTCCAATTTCAGATATCTGATCACATTGGAAACTATATAGCAATATCAGTTATCGACAATTTTGCTAAAATATTTGAACAATCCTTAAAAAGTAGACTTATAAATCACCTCAATGCAAAAAAATACTGACATACAGTTAGGTTTCATTCGCAACTCCAATAGCGAAAAAGCAGTGCTAGATTTTGTACAAAAATGATTGAAGCCTTGAATAGATCTGAAAAATGTTCTGCGATATTTCTAGACCTAGCTAAGGCATTCAAAACTGTTGATCATGGCATGCTATTAAAAAAAGTACATAGGTATGGTATACGTGGCTCAACATAAAATATGTTGTTCAACTAAAGATGATAGTAATCGGATACAAAAAATGCAGAATAGTTGTTGCAGACTAATTTATGGAATACGAAAATATGACTCCATCTCCCATAAACTCAAAGAGTGCAACTGGCTGAACATGGAGAATAGCGTAATTACATTTGGTTGNAGAGAACTCTATATTCACCAATGTTTAACTTGGGTGTACACAAACAAATTTACACTTCAATCAACAAACAGTGAAAAACAAACAAGATTCTTCGTTAGTTCATTCATAGCAGCATTTAATAAAAGTCACACACAGAGATGGATTCTCTATCATGGTCCAAAATTATTCAATGTTCTGCCAGTTAGCATGAGAAACAATTCCAATCTCCATAAATTCAAAAAATCATTCAAAACATTCACTATGTTCAATACGGAACTTCTCGATTTATTCTTCTAAACATAAACGATGTTCAGCAAGCTCTTCATCATTCCCAATATTTAATTCTGTAAATCAATTAATTGAAATGTATGTATATAGATATAAGATAGTTAAAGACATATAATTTAATACCCTGAGCGTAACACAAGTAGGTACTTTAGTCACTTAGGTGCATCCATCCTCACACTGAGGGTAATAAAATTGTATATGTAAACTATAAAAATGATGACCTACAATAAAAAACTTGAAAAAAATAAACCTCCAAAAGTTCTTGAAAAGAAAGTGACTGAAGTAGTCAATATGAAATACATCTCCTGGACTAGATACGGACCTGTCCTGAACTAGATATTATAGAGAAGATTTCCAAAGTTGTATCAGCATGTTGCGCTCATGAAATGAATCAAATATCTCGAAGTAATTTTTCACTCCATGGAAAAAGTAGGTATGCTTCTATTACCGAAAGTATTTACACATTCACACAAAAAGAACGTAAACATTTTTACACCAATTTCTCGATCTGTAAATTGAAAAGGGACTAGTTGGTGGTAGGTATTCGTTAGTGTTTTTCACAAAATCAGACCATGTTTACTATTTCACTGGAAGAGGCTCTAGAAGTCCCCTAGGTTGAATGCTAACACTTATACTCGTAAATGTCCATCCAGAAACATTTCACACGATCATCGCTGGGTAAATTATCTGTTACAGGTAGAGCTGAATAAACGCGAAGTTTTGTCGAGAAAGTTTGAAAGAAATTCCCTACGGTACTTCTTCACACAGTCTCAGTAGCGTCTTGTCGAATCAAATAGGGCCATACAATAATAATTTGATTAAGTTTCAAGATCAGCTACCAAGCAAAGCACATGAATATGGAAAGTGCGATCTAGCTGAAACATCGTGATTATGTCAACAAAGATTCGTAATCAGTTTGATAGTTCTCTTGCCTTCACATTCTATTAACAAGATGTAGCTGAGACTACATAAACGTTGAAAACTCAGGTTGGTATAGCATTGAATAGTTTTGATGTTATATTCGCATGATCTGAGCTAGACCGATGAGGAGAAGTTTTTAAGAAATTATTTCAGTTGATGCAAACTCTAAAATGTTATGGAAGAGCCCTGCTAATGTGGGTGTGTGTGTTTGGAATGTATTTTTCCGTTAATCATCTTAACCAGTCGAACGATAACACTCAGATGACGAAACTTATGGATCATCAAAGAGGTCTTACCTTTCAACGTGCGATTCTTATAAAGTAAAATAATATAGGTTCAATTTAGACCATTTGAAAAATCATCAAGAATAAAACTTTTGGAAGCATGAAAAATTCCAATTACATATTTTTTGCATACGTACCCCAAAGCTCTTCATTTCGAACCAAAGGAATAGTCTTGTTCAAAATGTTTGACGACCTTCTGATTATATTTTGAGAACTTTCATCCATTAAATGACTTCCATTCTGGTAAACATCTTGAACGACGGCTGAAAATGAGATTAAAGGTAAAATATGTTATGCAATATTCTCAATAGATGATAGTTGAAGAAAAAAAACAACAAGTACCCGTCGCCATCTGGCTAGTATTTTTGAGGCTAAACTGTATGGGGAGCAGCAGATTCCAGCTCGGGACAGAATACTTGAATTCGTGCTAGCAGAATTTCTTATGTGCGAATCTTCTCCGCAGATGACCCAATGTTTCAACAGATATAGGAGCAGATAGGGCCAGAGAGAGGTGCTTTTTGTGTTCAATTCAATAACTTACATTTGAGTTAATTGACAATCGCTACAGTTGAATTCTAAAAGAATTACCTATAATGTGCAGTAACTGAATGATTTACAGTGCCTTCATTTCAAAACTTCTCACCCCTAGTACTTCGTTTAGCAGGGAGAATTTGCCGTAGGAAAAAAACACGTCAATTTAGATATCGGGGGGGAAGTTTAAAACCAGTGCCAGTGGTATTTTAGGTTTAACCCCCTTACCCCTAGCTACTCCCACTTAATAATTTTAAGTGGCACTCCCTATCTTGTAACATATCATTTTAAAGATCTCAAAAATCCTCAGTCAACCTCGTTCAGAAAACTGAAATTGGTTGATCCGTTCTCGTAAAATAGGGCAAAAAGGAAATTAATTATAATAAAAAATGAAATAATAGCTATTGCAATTAAATAAATGTACCTTACTTTATTAGGTGTTCAAAATGTTCACCATTGGTAGCTAAGCAAAAGT